AATGGATTCACAGAGTCACTTTTTGTTGAGTGGCCAATATTTGAACCTGTTAAGCATAAGCAACTGACAAAGTTGCAAGTGTGCCAAAGGTATTTATGACACTGGTTTGGTGTGAGGCTGTTTTGACTGCATTATTCTTTCTCCCACAGACCTGTGGCAGAGACTACTAGTTGCCCACAAACATATTAGTTAAGATAGGCATTAGTTCCTGAGTATTGGTTATGTTGCAGTAACAAATTAAATACGGATACATCTCAATGCTTTGAAACATTTCATGCTGCATGTAGGTTGGCAGAAGCTCTATTCCACACAGTCTCTCAGGGATCCAGGCCAATGCAGACTCCAGTGTCCTGAAGCTGCATCATCTGGAACCTGTGGAATTCCTGGGTGCTGTAGCAGGAAAGAGCTACTGGAGACTGTAGTCTTTTCACCACACGTCACTTCCCCTCATAGCCAACTGGTGAGAACTAGTCGCATGTTCTTACTAAGAGATTCAGTCTTCTGGTGCCCAGAAGGGGAGGAGAACCAGATATTGGTAAACACTTGTAATGTCTACCATACCCTATATCTCTTCTCCCTTCTTCAATAGCATGGAACTCCTGACTGTTAGCTGGGCACATGGCTTTCCTAACCCCCCACCCCCAACAAAACAACAACAAAAAACTAAAACAGAAAAACACTTCTAAGTCTCAATGGCTAAACTGTGGCCAATAGATGTCAAAGTGAGGTCACAACTTGCAGGCAGGGTCCTTAAGGAGAGGAAGTGTACCTTTCTCTTCTTTCATAATTCCTGCTGGCTAGTACATAGACATAATGGCTGGGTCCTAGCAGCTCCCTTAGATTTAAGTGACCTTGGGAATGAAAGCCAAGCATGAAGGATAACTACCTGGAAGGAGCTTTGGTTCTGACTCCTTGGGAGCAATACTGAATCTGGACTATCTCCTGACTTCCTAAATGTGAGAGAGAAATAAACATCTATCTTGTTTAAGCCACAGTTATATGGGTGTTTTTTTTTTCTGTTACTTGCAGCTGAATTTAATCTTTACTAATATAGGACCCCAATTCAAAGTCTGTTATGGCTTCTTTTCCCAATAATATTGCTCATCCCCTTCCATATTCAGAATGAAGTGACAGACATAGAAGCATGGAAGAAGAGGTTAAAATATCCCTATTACTAATAAAGCTGATGGGGGACGTGGCTTTACATTAGTGGACAAAAGGGCTTAACACTTCCACTGAATTAGACAGATTACCTGCCTCTGTTATTGGCTTAACTTGGGTTTCTCACCCTCAACACTTCTGACATTTTGGACTGGATAACTCTTTGTGGTGTGGGTTTGTCTTGGGCATTATGCTTAGCAGCGTCCCTATCCTTTACCCCAGATGCTGGTAGCACTCCAGTCATGATGATCAAAAATGTCCAGACATTGCCAAATGTCCCCTGAGGAACAAGACACTCCCCTCCCCCCACACTGAGAACGATTGGATTGACATAACTGAACTTCAGGGCTCCCCCTTGGGTAAATCAAGATGAGTATTTCCATAGGCAGGAAATTCCCCAAGAGAGGAAACCCAGAAGTGACCAAGCCTTTTATGTCCAGCTCCTTTTTCCACACTCATTATCGGGGAAGCCACCACCTTTTCTTCTGAAGAGGTGATTGAGAGTTGTAGAGGCCAAGAGCGTAACTCTAATGAAAGTTTCTCTCCATGGAAAACTAATGCTAGCGTGGTTCTCCCGAAAATGCTCCCTTCTTTCGTTATACATTCCTGTGTATGGAAAGTCACTTTTCTAACAGTGTAAATTTTCACAACATTAGCTAGAAATAATGTGAATGATTGGTCGGGTACAATTACTTTCATCGGAAATAAAGAATGGGAACCAGAAGGCCTCAATGAACAAGGATAAAGTCACTGGGGTCAGAGTTATTGTTTTTCTTTTTTTTTTTTTTTTTAAGAGTAGCTGCCCACTGCTTTAAGTCCATTTCTTTATCCCTAGAGTTACTGTGGGTGTTTGGAGAAAGAGCGCATACTGTGTGTGTGTGCACGCGTGTGCGTGTATGTGCACGTACAGACCTCTTGAGGCCAAGACTTACAAACCCTACAGCTCTTAAGAAGAGGGTTGCCCCATAGTTACCAGCCCTGGGTAGAATAAACTAGTGCAGCAGTTCTCAAACTTTCTGGTCTCAGGAAGTTTAAACTCCAAAAAATTGAAGTCCCCCAAAAGCTTTTGTTTATATGTACATCAACTGATTAAGTACCGCAAAATAAAACTAAGAAATTTTATCAGTATTTATTAATTCATCTAAAAATAAGCATAATAAATACATTACATGTCAGATATTTTTATGAAAAATAACTACATTTTCCAAGACAAAACAATTTAGTGAGGAGTGGCATTATTTTACATTTTTACAAGTCTCTTTAATGTCTGGCTTAAGACAGATGGATTTTCATAACTGTTTCTGTGTTCACTCTGTTGTGATATGTAGTTTTGGTTTATGTATGTGAAGAAAAATCCAGCCTCACACAAATAAGTATTTGGAAAATGGAAGTTTGTTTAAATAGCCTTTTCAAATCACTGAGGATGTTCTTCCTTGATCCCAACACCAAAACTTGGCAAGTGGTAATTTCTTTAAAGTTAGCTGCAGCACTCTGCCCCAGGTATCTTGCCCTGGAAATCGCTGGTCTGGGCCTCTCTCTGGGGCCCCTCCTCTGGCCACAGGGAAGCCCACCATGCTTGGCCCACAACTTGCCCCAGATACTCCCACCTCCCAGGCCACATTATCACTCATTTTTCACTTTCTCTACCTTCTCTGTGCAGACCTCCTCTGAGCCCCCACCTCCTGTCCTCTGAAGGCCAGGCTGAAAGAACCCATCGTCACCCCTTTACCACCTGACTGCAGGGGCAGTGGGGCCTAAGGCCAGCAAGCTGCCAGATCCCTCTTTAGTGGTCAGAGAAGCTCAAGAGCAAAAGATAAAGCCAGAAGGCACTGCCTTAATCTTCACCCAGCAGAAGGGCTGCTGGGAAGTAGGGTAAGCCAATCGCTAATGGAATTAGAGTCAACTCTGAAAGAGTACAGTCCAATGAATGCTTTTAATGACCTAGATGGTTTTATTCTGATTTTCATTTTTAATCATGGTAGATAATCAGGTGGCAGACACCTAAGATTTTGAGACACAACTTATTTCTCATGTACGAGAGAAACGTTGGCTCTGCCCTCAGCCCCTCAAGCCTTCAGCAGCAACATCATTCACTTGTCAACCTCTGGCATCCAACCTGACAACAACCCATGCATGCATCTCTGGGGCTAAATGGGGGAGACAAAAAGGGGTCATAACTATCTCAAGTTTAAAGCCTCCCTATGTACAAGAGCACAAAGGTGTTCATCTTTGGCTGAGGCATGGGACACTTAGATGTGCTGTAACTTTTAACAAAATGCAAAATTGGTAGAGTAATAATTTTTTCTCCCACTGTACATTCAGTTTGTTGGTTTGTTTTTGAACACTATGTAAATGTTGGAAATATGTACGTATGTTAGATATGTTCCCTATACCTGGATGGAATGTAATGGCAGGTGGGAAAACTCTGCAGCAACCTAAGAGGATAAACGATGGTACCACATGCTGTTTACAGACCGTGTGCAGCACGGGAACAGGGCGAGGGAAGGGTCTCAGCCAGGCACAGAATGGGGATGTTAATTCTGAAACACAGAAAAGAGGAAAAGAATCCCAGAAGGGAAGGTAAGAGCAGAGGCATAGAGATGAGAAAGCGAAATGCATACTTCAGGAACAGTGACGAGACCAATTTGGTTTGTGCTGAAGGCCTGCAAGGCAAGTGACAATGCAAGAGTGGACAGCGAGGCTGGGGCTGGCTGCTGCATCCTGAAGGAAACGAGAACACTCAAGGTTTCTGAAGGTAAGTGCAGACACGAAAGCTAGCAGTAGAGAGCGGAGGCAGAGATGGGACAGCGAGGCTTGGGATGGGGCGAGGAGGAAGATCCAGGAATCTAGTTCATGGGAGACACTTAGTGGTTTTAAAAAGAAGAGACCAAACACCAGAAGATGGAGTGACTCAAGAGGTACTTCATTTAAATAACACATCTACAATTTACAAGATTTCTGTTTACATGATCTCATTTTACCTTCAGAACAATTTGTAAGGAGAACATTTGTCACCTTTCACAAGTAAGGAAGTGTTGCTGCTCAGAAACCAAGCTATCACCTTTGGCAATGCTTCCTTTGCTGGTTTTTGGGACCCTACCTCTTTTTTCTCTCTTCTCAGGAAGTAAGCTATTTTTCTTCTGTATTTCCCCTTAAATGTAGATTAAATATATTCTTGGGCTTCTCCTCTTGCCTTGCTACACTCTCTCATTAGATGACCTCATCTACTGACCTGGTTTAAGCCAACCACATATAAACTGACATCTGTCAAATCTATTATAGAGTTCAGATCGTTCCATTGAGCACCTGACCTACATATACACAACTACCTGCCTAAACTCTCACTTTCATCAAGTGGGTCCAAAAATTAATTAATTT